AAGACTATGGCAAAGGTGAGAGGGTGTGTGAGAGGAGAGAAAAAGCAGGAGCCAGCAGCACAAAAGGACATATTGATTGCAAGTAATATCCTTGTGCTTTTATTTTGATTAAATGTAGGCTTTAAAGCCCACAAAATCAGTTATGTTAACTTTTTAATCGTCCTTACAGAACAAAATCTAGACTTGCAGTTTTGGGGACAGCCATCCTTTCCTCTGGTACAGTTTTCATAAATGAGCCCCATGTTAATCATCTGCCTGTGTAGAAGCTGCATCCTGCAGAGTCTTCATTCTTGCAGACAGCACGTACGCTTTGTAGCAGAAATACTAGATTAACAGGAAATGTAGTACAGGAAGCCTAGGGACATATATTTACTGAGAAAGGGCAAATTAAGAAAAGGGGTGTTATGCACCAAAGCAGTTTAAGTGTTCTTTTCTTAAATGATATTCAAATTTACTGTCTGGGGAGCTCATAAACAGTGTCTAAGACAGTCTTTAGAATTTCGTTGCACCTCCGCATGACAAATATCAGTGCAGATGACAGATTCATGTACCTGTTGAAAACAGATACATGAATTTGGGGCAAGCACCGTGTGTGGAGGTACACGGAGGCCAGAATGTTCATTCTCAAGGCAGCAGAGCTACTTCCCAACCTTGGCAGCTGTCACACGTACAGCACCAGAGTGGGTGAGCAGACCCTGATGAGAATTCAGAAACTCTAGTTCTCCATCAGGTCTGATCCCCTTGTGACTGACAGCAGGCACTGAGGATCCATAGTCAACAGTCTATATGCCCCAGATACCACCCACTGCCTGCTGTCCATCACATGGAGAGAGTGGGCGTGATGGGGATCTAGTCCTTCAGCTTCCCCATCACGGTCTACTCACTGTCAGCATCACTGGTTGCTAGGAGACTGTTAACTGTGAAGCCAAGAGTGTCTTTAAAAGTAAGACCAAAAGGCAAAACTTTTTTTTTTTTTTTTTTATAATTTTGGATAGAATAAGGGAAGATTGTAACCCCTGTAAAGTTTACTTTTTCCATCTGTGTCCCTCTAAGGAGATTTCTGTCTTATAGCCACCACAGAAAGTGAGAGAATATCCCTCTAAAATAAGGGAATCCCTGGCTGTCACCAGAACTAGTGTCCCCATTGGAAGATATCCCCACTATTCCTGTTCTGGGGACAACCCAAAATGTGGAATTTTCTTTCATATTCACTTTTGTTGATAACAGTTAACAGGACAAACAGGGAGGGTGAATCTTTCTAACAGGAGCACAAACCGCAATAAAAACCTCTCCACTCTATTTAAAACTACCTGAATCTGCCACGTGTCAGTAACGCTACTGAAACAGGAGGCAAGGGTTTCTGAATCTGACATTGTCCATTGGAAAAAGTGGCCATACCACCTGAAAAGTATCATAAGTGTTTTACTGAATTCAGCCCTGTATGTCTGATAACAATCACCCATACACAGTAGGACACTACTGCACATAGGAGGACGTGAACTGAAACACAAGTGATCAATGCTTTTTAATACATTTTATATGTATCTGCAAATTAACAGAATACATTTTTAAGATGCTTTCTCAGTATAATATAGAACAAGCAGCAAGTTCACAAGAATCTTACTTTGCAGTTATACCTATATTTCAATCAATCCAGCAACAAACATTTTTTTTCAAATAAAAAGGATGATTTCTTGGTCAGATATGCGATTTATTTATACAATTTTGTAACATACTAGTGGTTCTAAAGGCAGAAGGTTTTTTACCTTAATGCATTCACTGCATTTTGGTAAAAAATCTTTTGCATGCAGCTCCCCCTCTTCAGCTCCCCTTATACATGCCTGAGCCCGATTTTCATCCAGTGATGTGCACGATAGTGGACTTAGCCAAAGTGACTGCACTGCTCAATCTTGGTCTTCGTGGGACTGAGATTGAGCTGTGCATTTTGCAACAGTTGTTTTCTAATTCCAGGTCACGCAGAGGCATCCCACCTATTAGCTAGGTGTCTCATCACACAGCGGAAGCAAAAGAATGTTACAACACTTCTGCTTTCAACGCAAAACATGTCACTTTCACACCTGCAAATCATGTTGTGTTTCCACTACTTTGTCTATCCTCTGTACGTTCCCCACAGTAATTAGCAGCTGACTACACCATATCAATGCTTGTTTATATTGTAACAAGTAGTGACACAGAACACCCATTCTGCTCATCAGTACTGAAAGAGCTGCTCACAGCAGCTCCATCACAAAGATTTAGGAATTGGCTAAAAAAAAAGGGCTAGCGGGTCCCAACAACTACACATCTGGGGGCGTTCCCAGCTGGGAAAGACTGCAAAAGTCCTCTGTACTGCCAAGACATTTAAAGATAAAATTCAAAATCAGCAAATATGGTCTAAACAGAAGAGTTGTGAATTCTTACCTAACTCTTTGTGTGCTTTGTGTATTTCTTTCAGATCTCTACAGTAACAATGTTAAAGAACTCCAGGATAGGCAAGAAACAGCCATTAAAAAACACACATAACGCTAAACAATAATAAGTGCAGCGCTAAATAAATAGTGAATAAAACTTTTAAAGTTCATAAAAGTTCATGAATGGTAAAATGGCAATAGAAATAAAGGATCCCAACTTCAGCAGAACTCAGATGCTTGTGCTTGGAAGTTATAGTAAAATCGCGCACTCACCGGATGCGCATAGAATATGCGCATATAATTAAATCCACCACGGTCCACTTATGTGAGTAGGATAAGCCAGGCGTATGGTACACTTCCTTCTACGTATGGAACAGCACAGCAGAATTTCTTCGGCTGGCTAAAAGATCTGCTAATCCAGAGGTCCCTTTTAAGGATGGATGGGTCTGCAGCCTGTGTGACAGGGATTCCCTCCTTTGGGTGTTTGGATAAGTCAGGATCGTGAGCAGGTTTTTATGGACCGCTGCATCTTCAAATTGTAACAACGAATAAAAGTTTCAATCCAAAGACAACTCTCCCTCACAAGGCAGTCGGAGCGCAGTGTTTTCGACAACCAGCGCGTCACCCGGCTGTGGTCACATAGTGCGGGTGACAGGCGCGGAGGGCGGGAGTGTCAGCTCTGTATCAACTTTTCGCGTGCAAAAAAATAAATAAATAAATAGCGAGGTTGTGAGAGGCTGGCAGGAGGATCTCTGGATTAAAACTTTTATTCGTTGTTACAATTTGAAGATGCAGCGGTCCATAAATACCTGCTCACGATCCTGGCTTATCCAAGCACCCAGAGGAGGGAATCCCTGCAACACAGGCTGCAGACCCATCCATCCTTAAAGGGGACCTCTGGATCAGCAGATCTTTTATCCAGCCCAAGAAATTCTGCTGTACTGTTCCATACTTATTAGGAAGTGTACCATACGCCTGGCTTATCCCGCTCCCATAAGTGGACCGTGGTGGATTTAATTATATGCACATATTCAATGTGCATCCAGTGAGTGCGCAATTTTACTATAACTTCCAAGCACAAGCATCTGAGTTCTGCTGAAGTTGGGATCCTTTATTTCTATTGCCATTTTACTATTCATGAACTTTTATGAACTTTAAAAGTTTTATTCACTATTTATTTAGCGCTGCACTTTTATTTATTGTTTGACAGAGGTTTCTATGGTTACCTTAGTGCAATAGCTGCTTTTTCTGGAGCGCTCACTTTGCTTTATTTTATAACAAGCAAGTAATAAACTTTTTTAAATCCTAACCATTTAGGAGAAAAGTCTAGTTGAATTTTCATGACCTCCTTTGTATAATTCAAATGACAACAGCATCTGCTCTGCTAAGGAGATGTAACAGCAGGGATTACATCATATCCCCCCCTCTCTCTCTGCAATAAAAGGAAACTACAGTCCCCATCAATCACAGGGAATTGCAGTGATTGTGGGCTGATACACTAGGCCTGTACATGTCGAACGTGTCTGAGAGTCTCTGTCCGCACACCACTGCAAGTGGGGCTGAATTACATGCCTGCTTCCTGGAGAAATAACTACAGAAGGGAGGTGCCAAGATCAGTGGCTGGGGAAATAGGAGGCATAATATAGGCTATTTCAGAGCAACTACTGAGTGAACCAGAAGGGGGTGGGGGGGCGTATGTGTGTGTGTGTGTTTAATTGTATCTGCCCCTCCTATAGTTTTCTGCAGGCAGCTTGTAGTGAGTGAAGCCTTCTGAGACTTCTCCCACAGGTCTGCTCAGGCTTTGTGCAATCCAGTGATGACATCACTGGTTTAGTATGGTAATATCCAGGTTTGCAAAGGTCTTTGGTGCACAGAGAGCAAATTTGTATCCTCTGTGGCTATTGAGCAGTATATTTGTGCCTAGAGTTCAACTTTAACTGTTTTGCTAAATTGCAAAGACTGTCTTAAACACAGTGGCTAAGTGGTTAGCACTTCCGCCTGGCAGCGCTAAGGTTGTTGGTTCGAAGCCCAACCACAACATTACAGGCCTGGAGTTTGCATGTTCTCCATGTGCCTGCCTGGGTTCTCCATGTTTCCTCCCACACTCCAAAGACATGTTGGTAGCTTAATTGGCTCTTTTCTAAATTGGCCCTAATATGTGTATGTATGAATGAGAGTTAGGAATCTTAGACCGTTAGGTCCTTGAGGGTTAGGGACTGATGTGAACATACAATATGTGAATGTACAATATATGTAAAGTGCTGCATAAATTGACAGCGTTATATAAATACCTGTAATAAACATAAAGGGATACAACAGCCTTACTCAAGAACTCAAGTAGTATGATCACATTCCTTAGACAGCAAAGTCTTAATAATTCAAAGGCGTCAATCAAAAGATTATAAAACACTAAACCATCAAGTATTTGGACACGAGACAATATTTCTCAGACAGGGAACACTCTGACACCCATGTGCCCTCTGGGTTCTCCATGAAGACAAACAATTTCCAGCTGGGAAAAATGCAGCTTTCTGCATTAGCAAAGACTAAACATATAAGGTCATGAGAAATCCGAAAGGAATGCCATACCGACATAATGCATGTTGAGTGCCAGGTACTTGTACTGGAAGAGAGGATGGCTGTTCAGGTTACTTCTTTGGATCTGCTGGAAGAAGGAGCTGACATCCCATCGATATAAGACATCTAGTAGCATGATGCTAGGGACTCGTAGGGCCACGTTCAACATGGCTTCCAGCTTTTCTTTTGCACCCATACTGATTCCCTTTGGAGCAAGTTAAAGTCAAACTGTGAAAACACAAATACAAAAGACAGGTAAGATGCTGAGCAGAAATGCTGATTTGAGAGAGTAAACTATATTTGCAACTAATTCACAGATAGCCAACATATTTAGCAGTGCTATACAAAGAAGACTCATTTATCCCCTTACAATCCAATCTCCCTATCTAAATTCATACACGCAACACTGTATTTTAGTGGACAGATGTTTCACCTATCAACATGCTTTGGGGAACTTCATACAAATGCAGTGAGCACTTGAATTCCATACATAAAAGGTCCCTGGAATGTCCAGTTGTCAGATAAGGATTGGGAAAAAACAAATTTCTTGTCGCTGGCTAGTATGGCCCAAAAGACCAATTTTAAACTACTTTCCAGGTGGTATCACTGTCCAACTGTACTTCATGGGATTTATCCTTCGGTCTCTGACTGGTGCTGTCAAACCGGTGTTGGTTCCCTGTTACACATTTGGTGGGAAGAACTGGGTACTCATGAACACTATCATTGTACATGGCTCTCTCGGAATATGTCTAGAGAATTCACTGAGCTTCAGGACCTGCTAGCTGGGTGAAGGCTGACTAGACTTCCTGGTCCACCTGGTGGACCCTTTCTGTACCTGAGGGTTCCCCTCCTTGGGCTGTGCTATTCTTTCTTTTTTTTTTTTTTTTTTTTTTTTAATATCTCTCAACTCCCCTTTTTTTGTTGTTCCCTACGTTTTTGACCCTGGAGGGTCTCTAGTTAGCCTGCTGCTGCTCTATATGTTTTTATGCTTGCCAGTTTGGTGGTGGTGTTCTGGGGGTACTGGTATCGCTTACTGAATGTTTATCTACTGCTACTAGTCATTGTTGCTTGAGTTGTATTTCAATACTTGCCCCTTTTTTCAAGCTCCTGTATGCTGGCACATTCATTTTCTGTACCAATCTTACCAGCCCCCTAGATGTGTACTTTTATTATTTTATTCCCCTTTAACTTTGTTTTTTTCTTTTTTTTTTCCTTTGTTGATTTTTTGGTAGTTGCCCCATATTGTTGAGGCATATTTCTCGTGCTCTGATATTTTGTATGGTAAATCCTACATTTTTTTTTCAATAAAACTATACTGAACATAGACAGTCCTTGGAGGAAACTGAACCCATGACTTCAGAATTTTGAGATCATAATGCTGCTCTTACCTGTGGACCGAGTGGTCTGGTCCTACCTATAAAATATAAACAACAGAGAGGGCGCAAATGTCTACTCCATTATATAGCTACCAGTGTAATCTGCCACTCTACATCCGGGAGCAGAAATAGTGAAGAGAGGGCGTCCCCCCTGTAAGAACACAATTGCACAGCAGGTGAGATCGCTGTACTAACATCGGATAGTAAGGTACAACAGCTCCTCCTTCCTCCTGAGCTGTCAGGTTTTTTTTCGTTCAGCCCATTGAGTTGAACGAAAAAAAAAAACTAGTAGTGTGTACCAGGCATAATGCTGTTTTAAGTTGGTTGTAATTAATTCAAACTATAAAAAAGGATTCTTGAAAATAAGCGTCAATTTTAGATATTCTCCAGGCAGTAGCTACAACTACTAAAAGAGACCTCTTTTAGTGGTGCCTAATGGCTGATGGTGTATCCTGCGACTTGGGCCTTGGAAAACCACTGACAAATCCTGTTTAGGACAGTGCTTGGAAGATTGATGTAGCTTCAGCTAGCGCTGAAAATATTTTTTGAATGAGTGGGTCAAGAAGCCAAGGAATTAAAAAAAAAAAACTAATTGCCACCATGTGAACAATAAAGTGTATTAAAAAGGCAGGCTTTTTAAACAAAAATTAACAAACATGTCATACTTACATACACGCACAGAGCAGCTCCAATCCTCTTCTCAGGTTCCTTGCCAGCACTCATGGCCCCTCCATCCTACCAAGTGCCCCCAGGGCAAGCAGCTTGCTATGGAGGCACACATGCAGGCTCGCTGGTGTCTTTTCACACACACAGTTGTGACTTGGCCTCACCCTCTCTCCTCATTGGCTGACTGACAGCACCGGGAACCAATCCCGCAGCTGTCTCAGCGAATGAAGAGGGAGAGTCCCCGGAGAGCCTGGGCTCTTGTGCACATTGCTGAATTGTGATGGGGCTCAGGTAAGTATTTGGGGGGGTGGGAACTGCTGCACACAAAAAGGTTTACCTTCATACGTAGAATGCATGAAGGTACAAAAACTTGAGCCTTTAAAACCACTTTAAAGTAACTAAACACCACAAACAGAAAAGATTTTCCCTATGAGATTATGTAGAGGCCCTTGGCCCGAGAGTTGTTCTTCAAGCCAAGCTGCCAACCTCCATGTTTGAACACAAGGATGAAGAACTGGCCCTTTGGGAGACTAGATCTTGTCTGTCAGTAAGAAACCAAAGCAGCACACTGGCTAGGGTTGCAGAACTAGAAACAAAGGCCTCTCTGGTTTTGGTTTGAGCTAGATTTGTCCTCTCTATATGAGAGAGAGAGAGAGAGAGAGAGAGAGAGAGAGAGAGAGAGTTCCTGGTCTACTGGGATGACAGAGAAAAGTTGAACTTCATGTGAGGCAAACAAGTCTGTGATCATGCTCAAGACCTCTGGATGCACAGACCATTCTGCCTCCCAAAATGCTTGATGGCTCCGAAAATCTGCAAGTCAACCGTGGGAACCTTTCAAATGAATAGCAAAGATGGAACATGGATTCTTCTCAACCCAACAAAACACCACTTCTGCCAATGACTGCAGGCATGAACTATTTGATGACTACTTTCATCAATAAGGAAAATTAGGGGAAATCCAATATTTTAAAACTGTCCCCAGGACAAGAGGAGGCAAGAAGAAATGGTCTAATTGAAATACCTGTTCCAGGGACAACTAAGAGGGAAATTCCCCTCATTTTGGGAGATTTTGGCCAACTTCCTGCTGCCTCTTTGAGAGAGAAAATGGAATTTCTCCAATGTAGCACAGGCAGCAGAAAAGACAAGCTGGCAAGGGTTTTAACCCCTCCCTACTATATCCATAAACTTAAAAAAAAAAAATGGTATTATTTATCATTTTAAATACAGAAACACCACATAGTAGAGTTCTTATGTTCATGGAATGGAAAACTTGTGTTGGAAAAACAAACTAAATGGCCAGTAGCACCACAATGCAGGCTCCTTCAAATGGGGTTCATTTTTTGTTTGGCACTCAAGGTGCTCCAAACTCTAAAGCACACAGATATGCACATATCCACCAGATCTCTCTGTTGAAATAGTAAACAAAAAGGCAATGTATTCACTTATTTTAATTTCACAGTCAGGTTCGGTTCACACTGAAGCGACTTGGGATCCGACTTGTGAGACCCCAAGTTGCATGACATGTGAAATCCTAGTTTAGTAAATGAGAGCTGGAAAAGGTTCCTGTACTACTTCAAGGCGACTTCTATCTGACTTTAATGGAAGTCACCTCATCTATATTGATGTGATTTGGATCTGACATTACAGGAAGATCACCCAGGCAAAGTTGCATGTAATGAAAGTTGCATCAAGTTGCCAGCAAATCGCCAGGAAGACACCTAGTAAAATCACAAATTTGTACAAGGTTGGACTTAACCTTTGGGTGGTTCAGCAGACATGCAAGTTGGCTAATGAATAGATACCAGAGTGTGGTTGTAAATGGGGTTTCACTCGGGAACACAGACCAGTCACTAGTGGTGTACCACAAGGCTCTGTACTGGTTTCTATATAGAAGTGATATAACTAAGGGTTGCTGGGTAGGGTATGTCATTTTGCTGATGATACAAAGGTGTGCAAAAGGGTTGATATCCCTGGACGTGTCTGTACCATGAGTTGGCATTGCTGGAAGATTGGTCAAAGCTGTGGAAATTAGCGTTCAAAGTTTCTAAATGTAAAATAATTCACCTAGGGTAAAAGAATCCCTTGAAAGAACATTGGGGGTACAGTGTTGGCCAGGACTACAGAGGAAAAAGATTTGGGGGTACCTATTTCAGATGATGGCAAAATGAGCAAACAGTGTGGCCAGGTAGTGGGAAAAGCAAATTCTAGGATGCAGGTAACAAAAATGGTGAAAAGCCTGTGGGATAAAACATATTAACCACTTGCCCTCCAGAGGATTTACCCCCCTTCCTGACCAGGCCATTTTTTGTGATATGGCGCTGCGTTACTTTAACTGACAATTGCGCAGTCATGCAACGCTGTACCCAAATGAAATTTATGTTCTTTTTTTCCCCACAAATGGAGCTTTCTTTCGGTGGTATTTGATCGCCTGTGTGGGGTTTTTATTTTTTTGCGCTATAAACAAAAGAAGACCGACAATTTAAAAAAAAAAAAAAAAAAAAAATACTTTTGACTTTTTTCTATAAAACATCAAATAAAGAACTTTAAAAAAAAATCAAATTTTGTCATAAATTTAGGTCAAAATGTATTCTGCTACATGTCTTTGCTAAAAATTGGTTTCCGTGAAAGCTATAGCGTTTACAATTGGTGGTATATAATTTTTGAATTTTTTTTTATGGTTGCAGTACTGCGGTGGTCATTTTGACACAGGGGGTGGGGGGGGTCACTGACTAACTGCCACTTGTGACAAACGCGGTGCCCGACCCCTGCCCTTCTCACGAATTCGTGACACAGGACCAGCCGATCTCACACCAAGCTGTCACTCGCATAACAATGCCACTCTCAGCTGTACCTTGCACAAAGATTTTCCAGCTCGTGGGACCACAATCTCTGTGCCAGCAGCCTGAAAGCGATTGTCACTGGGTTAGGTTACACAATTAACCCTTCAAACTCCAAACTGCCACCAGATAGTCCCACAACTATCAACTCTTCACAATTTTAGCAACAACAAATGTTAATAAACCTCTGTAACACACACTGTCAAGGTGAAAACCATTCATAAGCCTGAAGAATAGAAAAGCCAGATTAGACTGACAAAAAAAATCTAAAAAAGCCAGACCAGTTCTGGAAAAGCATTCTTTGGACAAATGAAACG